ATCTAATTCTACTGACATAGTTCTCGTCATCGTCCCAGAAGTAGAATTGAGGTGGTTTGAGTCTGACACTCTCTTGCACGGAATCTCTTGCGTCTTAACCAAGGTGAGAAAATTCAATTGATGATTTTATTCACTTAAAAAGGTCCTAACTTAAAACATTATTCACCATCATCTAGAACAGCCCGATACAGTTCGAATGCTACGATTGCGACTGCGACTATCGGATAACTCTACTCATGAGAGTTTGCACTAATCTCCATACATGATCAAAGGAGTTTTAGAACTTCAGAATCTCCGTTTCTGTCAGATAGGCAGCTATAGCATAGAGCGTTCAGCTAATAAATCCCGAACGAAATGGGCATTAGGTATGTTGTATCATGAACTTATAAACTACTAGCAAACCCGGCGAACTCCGTTTCGCCACCAGATGGCTTCGTTTTAGGTAACATTCTTTGCTATAAACCTCACGGAGCCCGAGACCTTTCCAACGAATGCAAAACCGTGGAAATCGGTTCGTGCGTTCTGGAGTTATAGCGTCAGGAAGGAAAACCCGACTTATTTTTATATAGTAGATTTATTCACACATTTCAATTAAACTTATTACCCTGGCTTGATAAGTTGATTGGCAAGAGAAGTGGTACTTCGGTAAAATCCTTGAGTGCCGACACTCGAAGGTAGTCTAAAGTCTAGACCTGAGTCCTGAACAGTCAACATGTTTAGGTAGAAATACTTTAGTAATTATTACAGTATAAATTGTCATGCTTGCGAACCAACGTCGAGGTACCTCATAGAGCAGAAAGATGAACCAAATGGACTATGACATCGTTACATTCGTAGGGAACTTGGCAATACCGCACATGTGCTAGAAGATCTAGTAAAATTAATGCCTTTTGTTTAAACCATTAACAAAAGCCCCAAGTTTAACAGTTTAAACATTGTTTTGGCCGCCTTTGCACAACTGCAGAAACAAAAGCTGGTGTAACATGGTGATTCACAGGTCTCGATGATGACGTATCATGCTTTCTTTCCTTTGTCCAGTTTTTCTAGACACAACTGCGTTTTCGCAACACCTGTTCAATGACGGCAATCAAAAATTTACAAGTGTTTGTACAGATATAAGTTTAATTGTTCACCTGTTTGTGCCACAGTCAACATTTATGCAGTAGGTATCTAGGCTGCTCGTCGGGGGCTAAAACAAGACAAAGCAATATCTAGCACGTGTAACCATAAAGGTTGAATACTCTTAGGTTCATTACAGAAACATTTGTTCTTATTAGGAAAGCAAATACGGAACCGCGTCTGTTGGACCAGAATCAATAGTTTCTCTCGGCTCGACTCGGCTCGTCTCATCTGTCGTCATTTCACAATTACAACTCGGTAACTGTGTCCCACAGCGGATGATGAATTATTCCAGTTCGTTACTCACAAGGTCATCACTAATTACTTAGGTATATGAATCATCTGTCACCGAGCGTGTATTTTATCTGTACATCGATATCGACAAGGTGCGACCCGAGCATTGTAGGGCTGCCAAAATGTGGAATCATTCGATAATCTTGATAAGAAAAATGGTGACCGAAGGTCGCAAGTTTAAAGGCTAATGACGTCATTATACACGTTTGTTTGGCACGAGGACAAGTTTCAAACATTGCAGAGCTACGAATAGATTAGCGAGTGATTTCACGAGGGATACCCTGTTACGAGAAAGGAAGGAAGTAAGTATATTCTCTATATTTAAATAAGTACCTACCTAATTGAAAAAAATGTGTAAAATAGAAAAAGAAATAATAATCTTTATTTTAATTATATTTATCTTTATTTGACAAGTACAGATAATTGTTAGTTTATTAGTATGGTACAGATAGATAGATACAATGTTCATATCCCAAAGAAAAGTCAGCGGCGAAATGGGACTAGTTCAGCATGTGCAAAACAGGGCCTTACACTGGTATTCTACTGGCCCATTGTGACTCGAATCATTGATCGAGTATAAAAAAAAAACTACAAAATATACACTTCGTGGGGCATCAATATAATTTCAACAATATTAAATGTATTATCTACTTTAGTTTATGCTAATAAAAACTATGCTATACCTACTAGGTACGTTGCACAAAAAACCTAAAAAAACTAGATATGAAATCTTTATTCTAACTGCATAGTCATCAATGGTAGTTCTTAGAATCTGATAAGTCTCAACTATAAGTAGGGTTGTATCTTGCACATTTATAAAACGTTTTTAGTTTCAGATAACTACTTAATAGATATCGACAATTTTCAATGTCTTAAGAAATAGAGAAAATTTTGCTAAGCGCCACCTTGTTGTGTTAGACTCTGGAAGTCTTAATTAAACATTTATATTTCGATTCTGACCCGATTTTAACTTACCTGCGTTAAGACAGCTTAGGATAGACACTATCTAATTGCTGAATTTCAATATGATTTCGAAGTAAGAGAAATCATTCTCCATCAGTAAATACTTACTACTAGACCGGTACTCAACTCGATATCGAGTACTTAACCTATTTTAAAACACAATGGGCGCTACTTTTCTAATCGCTCATTAATATTACTGTCACGAAAGCCTAAAACCACAATAACTCAAAATCCATAAGAGACGCCGATAACATTGTAATTCACCAGGTGTTGTATATTATAGCTGTCAAAAAGTTATCAGGGACCTTCATTTGTATGACAATGAGTTCGCGAACGTGTCAGCCCTATAAGTATCGTCAAACATCGTGCGCTGCGTGTGCGCGAGCCGGGTGGCAACAAGCTGTCTACTCGCAACCAATTATCTATGCCACTATAATAGATACAGTAAATTCATACAGATATTATTATGAGGGTGTGGGTAATATACCTAACAATAAATATTTGAAATTGGGTAATAGTTTGTAGGTACGTCAACGCTCATAAATCATTCGAGCAAATATTTTTCTAATATAAATATCTAGTGCATTCCGGAAGAACCCTGACTACGTGGCTTATGACTTGCAAGTAGTTGTGTGTGGTTTCCAAGAACCCTATCCTAAACTAACATTAGTTTGTATTGCGTCACGGCTTCACGGGGTTACCTGCGTGCACTAGTTTGGAGAACACGCTGCCATGGAGTTCTTGTCAGCCGCTGAAATAAAAAGATGATAATTCTATAAATAAATACGACCGCATTAGCGGAAGCTGGACACCCAATTAGCAAAGCATTTTATCTATGCATCTATCCATTAATGTGATACTTAAAACTACTGAGCCGTGATGAGGTTTGATGATAAAAACTATATTTTATAGTGTTGTGCTTAATTAAAATAGACGTGAAATATTGTTTGGATTGCTAGCAATAATTTTGATACTATAATACAAATCAGAATAGAATTGAATATGTAGAATACGACTACTAAATAGGTCTCCACCTATGTAGCAACAATCGAATACTGTGTCATCATTATCTCATTATTGTCGCAAAAATTCTTATGAAATAAAATATGTTGGTAAGTACGTAAGTAAATTCGTATGTAATTATTGACATAAATATCTTGTTGTAAGCTATGAGTTACTTAAGTTATTTACATGTAGGTATAACTTGTACAAAGAATATTTTATTGGTGTAAATCGTCGAAGCAGTTTATTAAACCTCGTATTACTACATTACTTAATCATTTTCCTAGAAATACAGCACTTTTCTCTGAAATTCTTATTAGGTATGATGATTAACTCGTCGAGTACCGGTTTTATAGACACAATTAAAGAACAATAGGCCGCGGTCACCGGTGACCGCTTGGTGTTTGACAGATTAATAGATATCTTGATTAACTCAATACCTATGTTGACGTCGGAGTCTCTGTATTGTAGTAGGTACCTACTGTGGATACCCAACTATTATTTAGTTTAGACTTGAAGAATAAAAATACTTTGCTTTTATTTATCATGTCTAAAATCAGCTAATTCAAATTGTTTTACAAAAACTGCAAATATTTTACAATAATTATTCATTGTTAGTGGCAGAAATCTAAACTAGTCCATTTTGCTAATAAAAGTTTTTGTAAAATATCAGTTGATAAAATTTTTAGTCTTGTTTCTTCAATTAGCCTTGTATCTTGTTAATAAAATAAATTTTAGTGCAATTCATTTTTGATTTCCACGTCGAATTAATTCTTTATAATTTATTCTTAGTACGAAATAAATCACAATGATACCTTTTTCATTGTACAGTTTTTTAAAAGTTACCGCGCTGTCTATGATATTCCTCTATGTTGTATCAGCGCCATCTGTGGTATAGACGAAAAACTTGCCAACTCAATAAATAAATATGTTTCTTTGTTTGATTTTTCTGTTAGTGCTTTTTATCTTATTTTGGCGATTTCAAAATGTAGGAAGTGTAATATATATTTTTTTGTAAATTAAATCTCGAAAAGTGTAAACAAACAGGTTTGATAAGATATTCTGATTCGAAAAGTGGCGGTAACTTGAAAGACCCACAGCGCCACCTTCCGGAATATAAGGGGAACCGTAGTGAACAAAGAGAGCTAGCTAGCCACCACTAGAAATTAAGGTTGTGTTTTATCTTTTTCATACTAGTACAGACTACGGTAGTGTGAAAGAGACACCCGGTACACTTTCGGCCATCATAACCATCTTTCTTTCTTGTGCAACTGTTTCTCTTCGTCCGTGTACTAGTGCAAACGCAGGATGGACGCCATTCGCGCGAGATAATTTTTTCATCGCTCGTGAAGCGAGATTTGAACGCGTTCGGTGCCGGGCGTGGAGCTATGCTATAGTGTATCAAGTGTACGGTGCTTTCGGTCTGGCGGTGCGGTGTGGAAGTGGTCGGTTCTGGTCGGAGCTGAGGCTCGGCTAGAGGCAAGGCAGCGAGGCGAGGCGCGTGCAGCGCAAGGCATGGCGGGCGCGAGCTGAGCGCCGGTCGCGGCCTCCGGTGGCAGGCCGCTCGCGCTCCGCCGCCGGCCCGATGAGCGGGGCACGTTCTGCGCGGCGGAGGTTATTTTATGGGTATTTGCGTGAGCTGCCGGCGCCGAGAGCGGAAGGCACCAGAGAAGAGGTCGGTGCCGGGAGCGGGCGGGCCCGCTAAGGGCACTGCGGCAGCAGAGCTGCTGCCGCGCCGCGTTGACCAACTGACAGCCATGGCCAACTCCATGTCCAACATCAAGATGACAAACCCTCTCAAGGGCATCGTTAGCAAGCGCCGGAAGCGCTACATCAAGGACGGATTCAACCTGGACTTAGCCTGTATCCTTTTATGTGTTAAAGTGTTGTTACCGTGCGCCCGAACGGCCCTAACGGGCTTGAGATCGATGTTGTGTGTCGGTGAGTCCTTTCAGTGATCTAATTCGAATTCCCGGCCTTGAGATTTCATCAGACCCAAATTCCCAATACAGTTTCATTTATCCTTGTGAAACCACCTTGGAATTAGCGTGATAACCTGGCTTGACCATCCTTTTAGTTTTGTCAAGGGCACTCAATTTATAACCTATAAATTACATTCATAAAACTCTCTTGATAAACGTTATGGTATTTTCAAGCTTTCAGCTAAATAGGGAATGTAAATAGGTAATAGAAATTAGATTTTAGGTCCTAACACGTTCATAAAGTCATCTGACAGGTCATATTAGGGTTACAAGGTCTCGTACAAGTACATACGCGCAAAACGTTGGTTTTACTGCGAAATTAAGCAATATAATTGTGTTGAAAATGCATAAATATATCGGAAACACGATTATACACGCAACTACGATTAAATTTTCGTTTGCAACGCGACAATTATCTAACGAAAGAGCAATGAAATCTCGCATGGCAACAAGATGTATAACCTATAACTTTGTATATATAGGCTTATAGTACATGCCTATTATGTCTGTGTACATAGAAACTATCTGATAGTCATTGTAGAGTGGTGTGGAGTGTTATGAACTATAGTATCTATAGGTTTTTATCTGATTACATTCAATGTGTAAAATATCTTAACATTAGCTATACTTGGTTATATTTTTTGTTCTGTAGTTGAGCGAGCATGGTTCAATTACTTTTTTCTAAAAAACTGCACACTATCATAAATTTTTATGTAAATATTGTAATCTTTTAAGATTTATAAGTTGCTCAAAAGGTGTTTTAGTGCTTTTTTTGCTTAAATTTAATTGTTTTATAACAAGACAGTGTGTATCGAAGTTTGCCGGAAATCTAGTGACATTAGTTGTGGTACTTTGTAGGAAGTAATTAATTTTAAATTAATTATTAGAAAGAACTTTACAAATAAACCTATATCTTGCCACGAATACGACTAAAGTATGAATCTCAATTAAACTAAGAATTTCATTCCCAATAAAATTAATTTCGTAGGGGCAGCGTTACATTTATAGCATTAAGTATTTTGTAACCTAGGTTTTTAACTAAGATTATTTTATAGCATTTCAAGATTTACTTATTTTGTAGCATTTCTATTAAGATCACAATCTATCTAATTAGAACCTTATTTAAGCAGTTCTAACCTTATCTACCATGATCATAATGTTTCATATAAACTTAAAAAAACTTTTTGTTTTAATCATAGAGCTGATTCTCATTGGCTAATAAAAGTTTGATTAGTAAAGTATATCAAATACATACTCCTTCCTATTCTTATTTAGAAAAGTCTATACTCTAGTTTGCAATTGGATCCGGTGTATAGCCACAATATCACCACCTATGACATGGAAATCTATAATGTAACTAGTGAAAAATGTTACATTTTAATGTGCACATCTGCCCTCTGTGATGAGAATATGTGTTCTTATGTTCTATGAGACTTCATCTTAGAAGAATTTACGTTTCAACTAAAACATACTCAAACTAATTTGTTGACATAAGTATCAATTACCCTATGTCTATGAAATGTAATAAAAATAGTAGTCAATTACTTAGAAAGTTATGAGTGGTCAAATTAATATGAATTAGCTAGTTTCTAAAATCATCAGACTTGGTTAAAATAAGATGGAGTACAATGAAAATTAACAGTAACTTTCTTATATTTAAGCTGCTCAATAGATCAATTCCATTGGTGTATTTCCTAGGATACATATTTAGTAACACTAATTTGATTACTTACAATGGGCGGTCTTATCTCATGTAGCTTCTTCCAGACAACCTTTGGATGAAATTTTTTAAATGAATCTGTGAAAAGTGGGTGCACAATAATATAAAGAGAACAAAATATAAAAGAATAGGGAAACAATAATAACAAACAAACAATTTTACAAACTACAATAAAAGATACTAAAATTATTAAAATATATATATAATACTATGTAATAAATAAATATTATATAATAAATGTATAAATGTAATATGATAACTGCATATAATTATATAGGTGCTGTGTGTGTGTAGCTTATTTATGTATGTCTAGATTCATACAGTACAAAATCAGTGTTCATATTGCAAAGGTCATTCACCCACTTATGCAGCTAAAATAAGGTTTTATATCACATTTGCTATCAGTGTGATAGCATTTAATATTACATTATTAACAAATTCCATGTTTTCTAAACTAAAAATGTTTAATAGACCTTGCTACTTTGGAAATAGAGCCTTAATTCATGTGATTTGTTATTATATAAAAAAAAATTAAAGGCACAAACAAATTAGTCTTTTTTTATATTAGTAAAGAATAATTTCATAATGTGCTCATGTAGATTCAAGTAGATATTTTTTTTTAATTTTAGGATATATGAAAACTGGTACTCTCTACCTTGTAGTTTATTTACGCGTTTAAGTATTTAGGTACATACATATTTAATATAATTATTAACCACATTTCACAGGTTTAATAATTTCATGTAACTTTCCTTTATTAATTAATATTAATACCTAATTTTAGTACCTATTTTAACTTTCAAATAAAAAACATTTACGACAATTTCCCATTTCTTTCAAAGTGGTTTTGATATTCAGTTGTTCATAATTAATATTTCTATGTATACAATCTTATCATAATATTAATAAAACTACCCAAATTATAAACACTTGTGACGAATTATGGTCCTGAAATGGTTATTACCAAATATAATTTTGATAAAATTGAGTTTTGTACTTGAAATCATGTACTTACATATAGAAAGGACAGGTTTAGGGACAGGACCTAAATGCCTGCTTGTATCATAATACTAACCCAAAATATTTTTGATACTGGCACTACTAAGTACCTTATTTGTGGTAGTCTTTCTTTGGTGCTTGTGCACCATGTAAGCTTGTTGCTATGCCGTAAATAATAGTTTTATATCCTGAAAGTCACACGGTAATTTCGTGTTATACAAATTATGTTGGCTTTGGCGAAATTCAATTGCATGTGCAATCGACATACATAAATGCTGTTTCGCCATACTATAGTATTGTCACTATCTTTAAATTTAATAGGTACCTACTTACTACTACCTATTACGGAATTTTCCTTGTTTCGTAATTTACCTAACCTCACACAACTTTTTTGATTAATACTTATGTTTAAAGTTCACCCATTAGACACGACAGCTGAACAAAAAATCTAAAAAAGTAGATATTCAGAAAAACAGCCATAAATTCAGAATGTGATTCATTAATTCATTGCATTTCTCGCATTCATACTTCGCAACTTTTCTCCGCTTTATCTCAGAAGTTTGTTGCGAAGAAAAGCTGGTTTCCTCCACAACCCATTAGGTAGATGCTGAAAAATATTACAAGATTCAAAAGTACGCAAAATCAGGAGAAATAATTACGTATCTGTTCAAAGTAAGTCATAAAAACTTCTCATACCAATTCACTAATTTTCCGACACAAATCATCTAACATTATTCACGCTAAAACTTGAAAAGAAAGAGCCATAATGTAAAATATAAATCTCGGGCCACAGAGTTAAAGCAAACTTTATAAATGACCTTCGGTCGCCACTCCGCTTGGCAACAGCATAATACTCAATTGATTCCAAAAGGTATCATTAAACCGTTCTTAATTTAGAAGTTACCTTGTGAGCTGAGCTTTATAAAAAACTTGACAAGCATCTATGTTCATAATAATGTGGGTTCTGTATAAAAAAATGTTCCGTACGAAAAAAATGTAGGTGTAGAACCCAAGAAGTTGATAGGTAGGTTTCTCTGCTTTCGATAGAGAATGCATTTTTTAAGATAGTTATTATTGAGAATGGAAATATATAAATGTATCTTATGTGAGATAAAGGAAGTAAATCGTATTATATCGAAGTTTAGTGTTGAATATAATTACACTGTAACGTGTTTCTTAATGATTATGTTAATTAAGATACCTATGGAGATTAACAAACTCGGTGCTCCGTCAGACAAATATTACGTACAGATACAATAGCTTCTGAAGGAATCCTAAAAACGAAGCAGTGAAACCAAGGCTGAACACATAATTATCTACAATTAAAAACAAATTACAACAAAACACTAACTAAGTAACCGCTTACTAATTTAGCTGTATCAGATCTGAAACAAGTGTTTCATTAAGTCTAGGCATTATGACTGATTTTATTTTATAGAGCTGACTTTTTAGGACGTATGAACACGTGTTGCGTCGACCGTAGTTTCGCTTTCTGCTATGATTTTAAATAAAATTTGGTATGCTGTAACTGTACCAGATGCGAGGCGAGACGATACTTACTATAGTTATAGTTTCCATTTATAGAATTCTGCTTTCTTATACATATAGTAAACTATGTAAGGAAATAGTTCAGTTATTGGTTAGTAGCTAGAAAGAAAAGAGATCACATTTTTATGAGATCAGTCATTATCGTGCTCTTAAGATTAATTAAATATTCGCCCCGTGCAGATATTTTGCATTTACTGTTGTAATTTATGCACATAAATAAACAGCACGTTGTAAAAAAGCTCCTATATTGTTAGGGATAAGTATACTTATGGATTGCGATAACGCGGTCCGTGCTTACATCTCTGTATAAACACCTAGTATTGATTCATTATGAATTATGCTTTGCATGTGGCTACTGTGTCTTTGTAATCATCACTCATATCTCTACACATCCATGCGACTGGAGCCCGTATTTCTTACGACGAAGTTCGTTACAATGTTGCAGATAATTGTTACAAAATGTCCGCTAATCTACGTTCATTCTAGCCAGCGTTCCTACTTAATATAATGCTCTATCTGTATTCTGTATATTTACTATATCTGTATTATGCTGATTTGTGAATAAAAAATAGCATATCAGCTGCCAAGCGTGCGGACTGAGCATTGGCTTATTT